AAGGGTAGATCCACACTGGCGTCTTGCCTCATCCACACCGTCCGTCTAGCGAAAGGGCGATAATTGTCGAAGACCTTTCCACTATAAATTATTTCCCCTATCCTACCACGGTAGGTTGGTTCTTTGTATTGAGAGTGTTTTAAGGAGCTGGCCACAACGAAAGCAGACGACAGAGCAAGAGAGCAGGGAAGGAGGTAAAAGGAGGACATTTTAAAGAAAAAAATGTTCCGTCTCTGTCAAGTTTCGAGCCCGGGAACTATTGAATGAGAGTCGAACAACGTAACACTTAGACCACGAGAGACCCCCCCCCCCCTCCCCCCCCCCAACCTATCCACAACAAGAACAACAACTTTCTCCTCCAGCTCCACGCCTTGTTCTATAAATAAACTGATGTTGTCTGACCGTAGGGTACCGGTGGTGGTGTGGGTCTAGCCTAAGAGACATCGATAATAATTGGTCGCATTTAATTAAGGACAAGCGGGCTAACCCAGTGCAGTTTTCTGGGTTTTCCAGAAAAACTGACTTGCACCAAAAAATGGGCATTGCCCTACCTTTAGGAGATGTCTAGTTTCACTGATGTGTTTATTTATTTGGTTATAGAAAAAAATATCCTAGTTTTTTAAATAAATTGAACAAGGCGCAAAAACGTAATTTTCGATTTTCTCAAAACAGGAAGGACCACTTGTGCCTAAAAAGCGACCAATTGTAGACCCCAGTACTGGAGTTCTAGAAAACACCAGCAGTCCTTTAGGCTGTTGCTTACCTGTTGAGACTAAAGTAGAAGAAGATGTTGGAGGGTATCTCCATGCAGGCTGTCAGGAAAAAGTTGAGAAACCGGTTGCCCGAGAGTGACGTGGAGGTCAGGTAGATGGCAAAAAAACCCAGCGCTGTGGTGAACCTGAGTCATGTTGTGTGGGCCGACATCATGGACAGAATGCAACATTTGGAAGGTCAGGAGAAAAACAAAAATATATTTTTCTAAAAAAAAATTAAAATGCAACTCCCATCTCCCCGTAAAAATGGTAAATGAATGAACAATTAACTAAAATAGATCATCAAATAAAATATAACAAGATGAAATAAAATTATGATGCGGGTGTTTTTTGCCGCTCGAATTGACACAATTTAGGAGGCGGGCTTTTCACCCTGCATGTCAGGGCATAGCTGGCTGAGAGGGATACAACACCTCAGCAGAAAGATCGCGATGCACGATAAAAATCCACCCCACTCAGGACTCAAGCTGAGGTCCTCCGGTGTGCGACAGTGAAGTGCCTAACTGCTGAACCACATATTCCAGAAAGTGACAATGAGCTTTGTCCATCTCTAGAGAAACGTGAGATTACTAACACTAGCTTACAACAGTACCTCCACAATACCCTTAAGGGAACCATTAAGTGAAAAACCAACGAAAGAATTCACAAACTTAATCAATTTGTATTCAAGAAAACCAAGTTAATCCTTCCAGCTTCATGCTCCTATATTTTCAGCAGCAAATGTACCACCTCCCACCACCCTAAGACCAGAATGATATATTCTCAGTTTCGGTGGGTACCAAATTTGTGGTTAAAAAAAAAAATAATTAGCGAACCTAATTAAACTTTAATTTTCATAACGTTTGTTCATTTACCTTTAAACATTGTTATATGTTATTATCTTAACTTCATTACAAAGATACTACATCACTTTTTAGAATGCATGCCTGTTTTTTCAGAGATACTGCTGTGTTGGCTGGGACTGGGAATAGGGACAGCTAAAAGAGGCCGGGGCTGGAAGGGTTAAGAACAAACCAGGGTCCATCGTGAGCAAGTATAACCTGAGCTAAGTCATGGTACAGTTAGATTGAACTTTCCGGGGGGGTTTATATATGTTTTTTACTCACCCTCCTATATAATTATAATATATATATATCTGTATATATGTCCTTTGTAACTGCCAGGATTTGTATAAAAAATGATTACAAAGTCATTTAAAAGGGCGTTCTTTTCAACGCAAGTAATACTTTCTTTGACCGTGCTTAGTTTTTCTCCTATGCTTCCACTGAAATTGGACAAAATCAAACACACAGGACAAATCATAATTGATAGTACTTTTCCTTTTCCTATTTCTTCATTCATCCTTTACCGTTAGAAGTTGAGAAAAGGTGCAAATTTTCTATCGGTGGTTCCGGTGTAAAACTTTTACTCTATTCTTTTGAAGGACCTCTTTCATGCCCTCTAGAAAGTCGTATTTTTACTCTAATAAAAATAATAATAATAATAATAATAATAATAATAGTAATACTAATAATAATAATAATAATAATAATAATAATAACAATAATAATAATAATAATAATAATAATAATAATAATAATAATAATAATAATAATAATAATAATAATAATAATAATAATAATAATAATAATAATAATAATAATAATAATAATAATAATAACAATAATAATAATAATAATAATAATAAAAATTAAAAATAATAATAACAATAATAATAAATATTATTTATGCTGCTCATTTCCATTTTCTATAAAATGCTCAATGCGCATTACATAAACAAAAATATGACACCTTAAAGATCAATGGACATGTGTTTACGTTAAACATAGTATTATGCATTATGTATACCTATAAACATTTCTATGTGACATAATAGTCACGCCATAACCCTGGCAATACGTTCTTTAACTGTTTCTTCTATCTGTGTTTAGTTCTGTTCTGCAGGTGCCTTTGTACCAAAAAAAAAAAAAAGAAAGAAAAAAAAGCGATATTAGAAATGGTAAATGTCCTGACCAGGCAAACCAAATGGCCAAAGCGTTGACCAGTAGTCTCCGGACCCGGAGTAGGTCAAGGAGGGTCATCTTCTTGGTGGACTTCTCCAGGACGTGTTCGTCCACTGCTGGCGCCATCTCCTTGCTCTCTTGTACCCCAGCGTAAGCCTGAACAAAACAATGGTGAAATGGTATAGGGTTTAACGCCCCTCTCAACACTATTAGTAAGCCTGAAAGCGGTTAAAAGAAAAAACAAAATTAAGAAGAAATAAAGGGGAAAACAACCAACAACCAATCACCAATGATACTTTGGTAGTTCTTGCCAATCGGAGCCTCGATCTACGTCACTGACAGGCAAGCACTACGACAGAATCGGCATTTCAAACAGAGGATAAATTAGCCATGAAAGAAGCAGCATGAAGACAACCTTGAGACCATTGTTTAAGCAAAATTGACCGTCTGAAAAGAGTCATACATACTTGCCAATCATTTTATGGACAGCATCCACCACCCTCTTTTGCCACATATTTAGAGACTTACATTTTCGTACCGCTAACAACATGAATTTCCGATTGGGGCATAAAGTAAAATCTTTCTCGGAGTTAAGTAGTAGTAGCTGCAGCTGCCGTTGTAGTCGCAGTCGTGGTAGCAGCAGCAGCAGTAACAGTAGCAGTAGCAGCAGAATGCTGAATCAAGAGCACTAGTAGTAGTAGTAGTAGTAGTAGTAGTAGTAGTAGTAGTAGTAGTAGTAGTAGTAGTAGTAGTAGTAGTAGTAGCACCATTATTATTATTATTATTATTATTATTATTATTATTATTATTATTATTATTATTATTATTATTATTATTTTCATTATCATTATTATTATTATTATTATTATTATTATTATTATTATTATTATTATTATTATTATTATCATTATTATCATTATTATTATTTGCATTATCATTTTTACCATTGTTATTATTACTATTATTATAATTATTATCATTATCATTATTATTTTTATTATTATTGTTAATGTTATCATTATTATTATTATTACTATTGCTATTACTATTATTATTATTATTGTTAATGTTATCATTATTATTATTATTATTATTATTACAACTACTAGTAGTAGTAGCAGTAGTAGTAGTAGTAGTACTACTACTATAATTATTATTACTATTATTATTTTCATTATCATTATTATTAGTGTTATTATTATTATTATCATCATTATTATTACTATAAGTAGTAGTAGTAGTAGTAGTAGTAGTAGTGGTAGTAGTAGTAGTAGTAGTAGTAGTAGTAGTAGTAGTAGTAGTAGTAGTAGTAGTAGTAGTAGTAGTAATATCATCATCATCATTATTATTTTATTTTTTAAAATTATTATTATCATCATTATAACCAGTATTATTATTATAATTATAATTATAATAATAATAATTATTATTATTAATATTATATAATTATAAGTATAAGTAGTAGTAGTAGTAGTAGTAGTAGTAGTAGTAGTAGTAGTAGTAGTAGTAGTAGTAGTAGTAGTAGTAGTATTCTTCTTCTTCTTCTTCTTATTATTATTATTATTGTCATTATCATTATTATTATTATTATTATTATTATTATTATTATTATTATTATTATTATTATTATTGTTACTATTATTATTATTATCATTTTTATTATTATTATCATTATCATTACTATTAGTACCACCCACCGACATGACATCTTCGTAACGCTTGCCGTTTGTCCTGGCTGCCCTCTGGATGACCTTCACGGCGCGATGAGACTTTCCATTGGCCAATAGCCAGCGCAGGGACTCGTCCATGAAGCTGTCACGTGCCCGAGACAAAGAGAAAAAACGTACAATGTTATAGAAGGTATAGGTCAACATTTATTTTTCAAGGTCGATGTATGGAGAAAGTAATCAAGTATTAAATAGAATAGAAATATATCAAAGTATTATGGAACAAGAAATGAGTATAACATTAAAGAAAGAAAGAATACTTTTTAGGATCGAAATGTGGAGAAAGTAATTAAGAATTATTTTTCTTTAGGAAATAAAAGATAAATATAAATAAGGATCAAACCATGAGGAAAACAATCTTTAAATATCAGCTTAAAAAGGATCAAAATATGAACGAATGTTAAAAAATTAAAAATGAAAATATAAACATCATGGAGGTTAAAATATGGAAAGAGCAATAAACATAAGTTTAAAAAAAATAGTTCAACAATATTATTAAGATAAACAATGGATTAAATATTATTTATAATTTTAAAGGAAGAATAGATCTAGTATTAAATCAAAATTATAAAGATTAAACATGGAGATAGCAAAGAATATACTTTAAAAGTATTAAAAGATCAGCATTTTAAGATCAAACAAATATTGAGAAAGCAAAAAATAGAATTTTAACAAAAGTGATGATCAACGTTAACAGATTCAAAATGATATGGAGAAAACCAAGAATAAAATCTTAGCTCGTGCACGTCAGGCAGTCTCCTTACTGGATACCACATTATTGCTTTTTTATTCTTGTTTTCCTCATCCATCCTATCTTTCTGCCTGCCCAGCATATTATATTCAACTATAACTTCATATTACAGGCATCAAATCGTTAGGTGTTTTTTCTGAAAATACGAGAGGGAGTCAAAAAGTAATGCAAGTTGTTAGCTATTTTGCACAATATTTCTTTTTTTCTTTTTCTTTTTTTCTTCCGCTTGTACCCTGGGGTGTCGCGTGGAGACACAGGTGTCTGTCTGCAGCAAGTCGTGT